GTATCATTAATATATTTTTGTACACTCAATCAATTCAGAAGTACAGAGGATGACAGCCAGATGAGACCAGATTGGTGTTGCTTAAACAGTGGCTGAATAAAACATCTTTTAAAGTTCGTCTGAAGTCTTGTTTGTTCCTTCCACATCTGTCTAGGATGCTAGACAGATGCTAGGATGCTATCATTAATATATTTTTTAGCATTTTAGCAAGGACAAGAGAACATAATGATTAGAACATGATACAACTGGAAAAAAGACATGTTAAAAAGCAAGTAAATAACATGGTGACAGAACACTAGTCCTTTTTTAGTTCATGAACAAATTATTTTCATTCACTTATATTAATTGACTATTTTTTTAGACTCACTGAAGTCTCTTTCGGTTAAAAAAAACATGACTGTTTTGCTGGAATGCAATTTCAATATGATTGGTGATATCATCTATTGAACAAATCCGTCGTTCACTGAGTGGGTCTGAGCTTTGTGTGAATGAGATTTGAAGCAGCACTATCTTGTTCATGAACAAACTGAATGAACTGGAACGTCTCATACATGAACAAATAAACGAATGAGGCTTCTGGTTCATGAACGAACTAAATGAAAATCCAAACATAACAAACCCATACACAATAATTACACGGCTCTGTTGAACACTTGATTCTGATTGGTTAATCGCGCCATCCAGCAGTCCCCAATAACAACCGATAAAAACCATAGTAGACAGTAAAGGTAAAAACTGATAACACAGGCTCCTCCATGTAACTGAAGTCAGTGCTATATGCTTTCTAGGACCGTTTTTTCTTCATGGAAGTTTTGCGTTTGGTGAGCTAATAAAATAATAAAACTCGAATTAATATTTTGTGTATATAAATATTTAATTGTCATCCGGATATTGTGGCCTTTCATACAAACCCAGCTGCTGCCATTTTGCAACGATTTTTTTGTACACTGTAATGGATTATAAGATAACAAACAGGCACGTTTTTAAAACAGTTTCATCTCACATCATATCTCTTATCCCCATAATTATTTATGTGGCGAAATAAGTGGTATTTTCAACTTGCCGCATGCTAGCAACTGATTTCTTTGCGGAAGCTTTACGTTTAAAGATCTAATAAAATATTTCAACTCAAGTCAATATTTCATGTCAAATGATTTACTCATGTGGCATGTAGCCGTGTAATAAGCTTGGTGTCGCCGGGGTCCTGATCACTCCGTCGGGGTTTATTCTGTGATAACACTCGGCTGGATTTACATAATCCCTTACTTATTGGTGTCTTTTTTCTACAGAAAGTACCCAGTGTTTAGGAGTTTATGCACTCCTTCGGGAGTTCCTTTGTAGATTTATAGACACACAAACTTAAATAGAGGACACCAAGAATAAGGCTAAATGATTCAATGACACATTAAAAACAGACTCCAATTTGTCATCACAGAATGATGACTCGAATGAATCAGTGAACAACTCTGAACAAATCTTTTTGGTGAATGGATTCAAAAGTCTACTGAGATGAATCAAAATCCCCGCTACAGAACACTGTTAATCCAGATTTATTTGATATGCATTTCTGATGAATTTTACCCCATGGTACTGATTTGAAGCTGGTGGGTTGATACAGTTGAATCGTTTTAGTGATTTGTCCCTCAACTTAATCACAGCTCATCATTACTCAAGCGCAGAGGGTTGCGTCGCTTGTATTGAGATGTCTTATGTCAAAGCCGTGGTTTTAGTACAATGACCTGTTGCCAGAGTTCAGCCCTTTACTACGTTACACACTGACTACTGGATCGTCTGTTTAGAAAAGACTCCCAGTATTGCCATGGCAACGGTCCAAGGGATAACAGATGGTGGGAGCGTGCTCAGTGGCAGTTAAAGAGGGAGCGCTCATAGTAAGGGGGGAAAGTGGGTCAGGATCAGCCACAGCAGGACCAGACAACGCTTAACACCAGACAGGCCACACACACATACAATGTTCTTCAATAATTCCTTCTAATTAGAGCTGCAAATGGAGGAATGCATTCATATTTCACATAGATTTACAATATGCAACTTCTCTATTTGTTATTCAAAAGGTCCTAAGAACTTTCTACATGACATTTCACATTTATATTTCATTTAGTTTTTTATACACGTCATGTTAATTGACAAGCAGAAGAATGATTTCTCATGTGTTACATGAAAAAGCCTGCACAGGCTGAAGTGACGAGTAATCAAAGCTGAATCAACAGTATCTTTACTCTCCACATTCACACATGTCGAATTTCAGATGTTGTAAATCATTATCGAAACCAACTGAGATTTTTGTTAATGCTAATTAAGTTCACCAGCTGCTAAACATCCTGCATGTTTCTTTAACTGTGCCTCTATCTATCACCTATTAGACAGGATGACAGAAAATGTAATAAAGTTTCTGTGTTTGTTACTAAGAAACAGCATAGAAATCATACTCATGTTTCACCCTGAGTGATGCTCTATTTTGGGATCTTATCGAGGTAAATAGACATCAGCAATCCAACTCTATGATATGCCTACACAACTAATAATATGTAGCCTAACTACTCAGTTGTACGTTATTACACAAAGTGTAGTAATATAATATTATGCATAACTTGTTGGATTCATACACAAATCTAACAAATGTCATGCAACTTTACATTTTTTTTCAAATGTAAAAATTTTGACCATCTCTGCAAAACTACCACATTTGGTCACACACAAACTATTAAAGGGTTAGTTCACCCAAAAATCATCATCATTTACTCACCCTCGTGTTGTTGATCTTCAAAACACAAATGAAGATATTTTTAATGAAATCTAAGAGATTTCTGTCCCTCCAGTCTACGCAACTACCACTTTGACACTTCAAAAAGCTCACAAAGAGATCGTAAAACTAATTAATATGATTCGAGCGGTTTAGTCCAAATTGTCTGAAGAGACTCGATCGCTTTAAATGATGAACAGATTTAATTTAGACATTTATTCACATATAAGCAGCATTGATCTGGTGTTGTCAAAGTTGCAGTTGGGTAGACTGTCAATGGAGGGACAGAAATATATCAGATTTCATTCAAAATATCTTCATTCGTGTTCAGAAGATGAGTGAAAGTCTTATGGGTTTGGAATGAGAGGGTGAGTAAATGATGACAGACTTTTCATTTTTGGGTGAGCTAACCCTTACACCAGCAGAGGCACAACTAATATGGGTGAATCTCACATTTCACCCCAAGATGTTTTGTACAAAAAAATTGACTTTTTTTGCATTGTAACATCATTTAATCAATATTATTAATATTTAATTAATTTATTTTATATATATATATATCAATTAATTAATTTATTATTATTAGGTGTTTTTGTATTTTCATATTTATTTTTTATTGAAACAATTTGTATTTTATTTTGCAGACTTGTGACCTGGACATGTTTTCGTGAGACTCGCCCATACAGCAAAATATCAATTAATATTTGTTAACCTACTGCTGTGGCATTAAATGCAGGGGATTATGTGTGTTTGAATAATGATTTAATTCTTGTTGTAACTGCATTTAAACATTTTGTAGCTCAATCTCTGTCCACTAAAATGATTATTTAAAGCATGATAAACTCTCATGATAAAACTCTCAAAGAGGCCAGTAGCCTACTGTATTTCACACACTTTTAAAATATCAAAAAGAACATGTGAGCAGTGTGTTGTTGGGTAGTGTTTGTTTTCCTAATGTTAAATAGCGTGTTGTTTCATGGAGAAATAAGAGAGATAGTTAATATTTCATTTCATTAACGGCTGAGTCATATGGCTCATCAAAAATAATGCTGCAAATCCCACTATAAATCCCACTGTATATATACATATACACACACAGATAAATCCAGCACACTGCACATGTGACTGCTTGAACTGTTGATTTATTCCCCACTACAATCGGATTGCCTTCTTTTTCATGAAAAAAAAGCAATCACAATTGACCAGATGTTTCTTAAGTGTAGCATCTAGGAAATCTCAGGAAGCCCATGTGTTTGTAAAAAGAAGAAGAAAAGAAGAAGAAGAAAGCAGACTCTGCGGACAATGGCTGTTACATCACAACCCATGACTTTGATGCTGCTGCATAAATCCAGTTCAACACAACAGAACATAGTGCCAGAACGGATGTAAAATGATAGCAGCTCATGCCTCACAACATGAATTATAATAACAGTTCAGGTCTAAAAGCTAAAAGCTGTTAAGATAAAGAAGGTTGTACAGTGTGAAATTCTTCTGAACTTTTAAGAGCTACTCTTCTACCCTTTGACTCTTCATGCTGTTAGATTACATGAGAAAGCTGATATTTTTACCGATATGCTCACTTTTCATCAATTCATGAATATAAAACAACAATATTATAGCACATTGCGTGCTTGTGTCATTGTGTCAAAAAGCAGAAATAAAACAATGAAAAATGGATTCTGTATACATACACATTATACAGTACACCTACACACAAACATAGTTGGTATTGGTCAGAAAAAAACAATACTAATCTATATTAAAGACTGACCTATTATCAGTTTGAACAATATTTTGTTTTTAACCAAGTCACACTTTTCTACCAAATTGATTTTCATTATAGTTTTTAGAATACATGGAAAGTACATGGAAAGTACATGGTGGCCTCTAAACAATAGACCCACTGTAATTCATGCCTAAGTTAAACGTTTAAGACATAGAATTGTATTGTTTTTATTGGTTTATTATTATTTATTTCTTATTATTAACAATTATTAAACATATTATTGTTCCGAATAATGATAATTTAATGCGTGTTTTAATAACTTAGCTATTATTGCTTCAATAATAAAAACTAGTTCTGCATATTTCCTAAATAGTCCGTAAGCGTATGCGCTTGGTCTTGAAAAACAACATCGTGGAATACAACAAGTGATCGACAATGTAGGCTAGCCTAATTTGTAACAGAGAGACATAGAAGAACATTAAGAAGAAAGAGCAATGAGACAGTTTATCTTACCTCTTATCAAAAGGATGGACATCAGTGGAAGAACCAAATTTAAAAACATCACGGTCTTGTTAAAGATGAAATAAATTCAAAACAGGTGATGCGGTACGAGATTAAGAGAGAGCACAATCCTTAAGAGAACAATTATCCAGGTTACCCATTTATTGAGTTGTGAGAGGAAACCTGAAGATGTTCAGATGACCAATTGTTGTTTTGAACTTGTCAGCCAGTTCGGATGGGCACCACGCGCTGGACCGAACCATTCAATACTCCGATCCTGTAAAGCAATTACGCATCAAGACGCACTTTGAACTGCGCGCGTGGGCAGCGGATCGAACATAAATCAGCTTAAAGCGCGAAGCACTGAGATTAAAGAAGAATGGACGACCGTAGCAACATAAACCTGAGGTCTCTGTCCAGTTGCTGCCTTGACTACAGAGTGAACGGCTTTTGTTCACTCAGTTGTTGCTATCGTCCTGGAGTGGTTATCCTCATGCATGCGCCTTTGCCAAAAGTCTCTAAAAGCATCCTCTCTTCCGCGGAAACTAGTATCACTAACTTTACCTAACAGCAAAACTTGGTATGTTTAGGAAACGTCAATTGACGCAGACTAGCACAGAATTCAAAGTTGCGCTTAACTCGCATCTCTTGTGTGATTCGTCCGGTGATTAAGGACGATAGTACGATTAATGGATCACAATCCCAGGCGGAGCTCAAGTGTGCAGCAGGCATAAAAAGTAAACCGAAGTAAGTTATTGTGAATAGGCCTAGTTCATCGGTTTCAACAATATGGTATATTACTGATCAGCTATAAATACGCGATATCGTCCAAAGTCTGATTTGTGGAGTATTTTAGGATACACGTTTAAAAGGAATTTATTCTACAGCGCGTGTCAAAGGTAAATGGTCCTACACCTCCCTCTGGTGCTCATTAATGAACATGCAATTTCAGAACTGCATTGCAGTGTTCAATGCTCAAACAATAATAAAAAAAAGAACTAGCTTTATGTGCTGTAATGTATAATGTGATATATTTTTATATTACCAAAAACACTGCAATCTATAACACCAAAATTAAATTAAATAAAAAAATCAATTTAGTAGGCCTACAGTATAGCACAGATTACATTAACTTTTGTCAAAATATTAATGCTAATCTCTGTGTACACCGAGATAGCAAATTCATGCTGTATTTTGAAGCGTAGGGGCTGATCTGGAAGCTTGTTAAAATTAGAAGTTTTTAAATGGATGTTTTTTGCTTGTAACGTTTGCTTGTTGTTATAGTAACAATGATGAAAACATTGCTTACAATAGTAGAGATCTAATGTCAAATTAGGTTTTATTCCTACTTAGTATACTTTTATATATATATATATATATATATATATATATATATATTAATTTATTATCATTTCTGTTATTGTGACTAATTTTGGTTATTAAATAGGCATTTTCATCTTAATTAGTATGGACTCCAAGCAAAAATAAATTAATGAGCAACGTTTGTAAGGTACCGCTGAATTAATCTCTTCATTTGATGTGAAGGGCAGGTTGTCATGGCTTATTTTGAAATCCTTTCAAATGTAAAACATCCACCAGCATTGTTATCAGCTGAGGCAAATTAACAATTCAAAATAAAGCAGTGGAATTAATTCTCAACTTCAGCAATGAGCCATCAGTGCTTTTCAAAAAGCATACCTTGTCACTTAAGGAAACACTGGAGATGTCACTGTCACTCTCTTTGAAAAAAAATCATTCATCCATATGGAAAGTAAAGCAACAATAAACACTGTCGTGTGTGATATTCACCTATCTAGAAACAGCGTTTGTCTGAGGTGCATCAATCTTCTTCTGATTGACTGAAATCTTTGCGGTACTGAATATACCTGCATCCATCTTAGAAAATGACGATAAAAGCCTTTTTCATGCTAATTTGTCCTCTAATTTAAATGCAAAAAGCAAGAAACAAATAAACAGTGTATGGCACACCCATAGCGTTTACTGAAAATAAACTGCAAGGGGACCAAATGATTGACAGATCAACAAATCTGATGTATTTACTTTAATTAGTACCTGATGTAGATTAGTAATGTTAAATAGTGTCTAAATAAAAAGCTCAAGTAAAGATTTTTTATTTTGATTAATATGATTAATATGTATTATTCATAAATACACTAAGTATTAGGACACCTGACCATTACACCAACAGGGACTCTTAATGACATCGCATTCTAAGTACATATACGTTAATATGGAGTGGGTCCCCTCGGGAAGGAGTTCCACAAGATTTTGTTTCTATGGGAATTTATTTCCATTCATCCATTAGAGCATTTGTGAGGTCAGACACTGATGTTGGATGAGAAGGCCTAGCTTGCAATCGCCATTCCAGTTCATCCCAAAGGTGTTCGATGGGGTTGAGGTCAGGTCTCTGTGCGGGCCAGTCAAGTTCTTCCACACCAAACTTGTCCAACCATGTTTTTATGGATCTAAATTTGTGCACTGGTGTGCAGTCATGCTGGAATAGAAAAGGGCCTTCCCCAAACTCATCCCACAAAGTTGGAAGCATAGCATTGTGCAAAATGTCTTGCTATGCTGAAGTATTAAGATTTCCCTTCACTGGAAGTAAGGGGCCTAGCCCAACCCCTGAAAAAAAAAAAAAAAAACTTGAAATTTCCTGACATATCTCATCCAACTAAATCATTCCAAATTGTGGTAAACTCTGCATAACATTTGGTAAAATGTTGGTTAAAAAGCATTTTCTAGTTCTCTCAAAAGGGGGAGACAAACAGCTTTCCTTCTCTCCTCTCTCAGATCCTCTCTCCTTCTACTCCTTCCACTCTCCGCAGCTTTATGAACCACAGGAAAGGGTCACCTGCCAAAGCATCACAGACTGGGATTAAAACAGCACGCACATAAAGTCCCTGAAAGGTAAATGTCTGGAAACTATTATGTCATGCTTGCTCTGACAACAAAATAATTATGTCCCAGGATTGTTTCCCAATAAGATTTGGCCTGTGATTGAGAATTACACAGAGATCAGCTTCTATGATATGAAAAATAAGGTATATTCTGTGCTGTCAGACAAGTGTATGCCAAACTGTGTTGTACTGCACTGTTTACTTTACATTAAGGACATTGGGCTCATTAAGGTTGTCAAAAGCCTTGATGATTCTCATCAGGGTATTTTGCTTTGGGTAGGTGAATAGATTTTTGTGGACATATCTCAAGTTTTTGTATGTTTTGGTCTGAAACATTGCGTTAGCGCACCACAGATGGGAGGGGCTGCTGCAGTCCACTGCAGTGCAGTGCTTCATGCTGTTGGGTGAAGTGCTTTCTAAGGCAGTTAGGTGGAGCTACAGCACTATTGTTGTTCTCTGAAGAGCACAGTTTCATGGATGGTCCACATGGATGACAACAATACTTAACATTTTAAAATGCAGGTTTGTTTAACAGTGTGCTCTCCTCCTTTTTTTTCCTCAAGATTTCAGGCTAGATTCAATGGCCACTACAGATGGTCATCATGTTTAAATTATTCTGGGATATGTAACAGTATTTTATGACTATCTTCTCTCCTCTTTTCTACTTATAGAGCTTTGTTATGAACACATTTAACTGTATGTTTGGGTGGATTCTTCTTCTGGGAGGTAAGAGGATTATGAAGATGTTTTCCTAATATTGCTTTTCATATGAAACCATTTCATCATGAAAATATAACAGCTTATTCTCCTATTTTACGTTATATTCAACTGCTCTTATTTCTATATAACTTTAAATTAAACTAATTATTTGCTCAATGACCCAAAACATTTGACAGACTTGTTTGATTTTCTTTCTTCACAAAAGAGGATTTTTTAAAAATAATATGTAATAATATATATATATATATATATATATATATATATATATATATATATATATATATATATATTATATATACACACACATACTCTTTTTTAAATCCTCTTTTGTGAAGAAAGAGAACTTTCAGACTTTTCGGCTTTAGGTTTACAGACTCAATTTAGTTAAATAGAAAATAGTGTCCAGGATATTATAGGAGAAATATTCGTTTAAATCAATGTACTGCTGAACTCATTTACAATTTGTTTTACAAAGCATCACGCATTCATTGCATATGGTATATCTAAATAACAGGCCTCATGATTTCTCATCTTCAGCTCTGATGAGCCCAGTGTCGTGTCAGGATGAGGAGAGTGTAATTGCAGTATGCCAAGAGGAAGATAATGACCTCCGAGTGGACTGCCTTCTGGAGCCCAAACCCAACTACCACACAGACTATGAGTTCTCCATGTCCAAAGGCCAAAAGGAGACCATCATAAGCACAAACATCTCTGGAATCATGCCTGAACCCAAGTTCAGGCACAACACATTTGTGACAGAGCTTGAACCATATGGATTCAGGCTGACCATTATGAGCTTCTCCATCACTGAGAATACAACTTTCATTTGCAAAGTGACCAAGATCCAGAAGACTCTATTTGTTGAATTAGGTACAACAACTGAGCTAAGATATTTGTACATAAAACTAGAATGAATATTTGCTCTGCTTAAACCTGAATTTGTCTTTGTCTTCTAGAGAGCATCCAGCCCTGCTCTGCCATCAGTGTGTTTCTGCTGGGTTATCCTTGGCTCAGTCTCCTGGTTCCTCTGTGCATCATACATCTATAAGAAGCCTTTTAAAAACAGTCAGCTACAGGGTGTACAAAAGCATTGTATTTCCAGACTTCAATCTACATGCTCTGCCTTTACTGTAAAGTAACAGCTGCTGCCTCTATGATGGTATTTATTTACTTTATGCCTTTATACATGTCTAGCCAAAACACAACTGAAGACATGTCCTGTGTGCGATAAGTTAAAGGATTTTTAGGGTTCTTGACTATTAAGGGGTACCAGCATTGTTGATAATGTTATGTCAAGCAATTATACTGCTACTTAGAAAAGTAGAAAAGTTACAATGATAGTGCCATTAAGGCTTTGAATAAAATGCACCACACACAGTTTGTGTTCATTAGTGTGTAGATAAGTAAACAAATCCCATAATGTTTGGCTCAATTATGGTTTTCCCAGCACATTTTCCTCTCAGTTCCCTTGTAACATTGCTTAATTTTTGTGTAAAAGAAAAAAAGAAGACATTCAATAGGGTATTTTTTTATTTGTTTTGTTTGTTTTAAGATGCTATCAATGTCGTCTTAGAAAATTAATCTTTAATTAAATCTGTCACTGCTGTTACCACCCTCGCCTCATTCATGAAATAAAATAAACCAGAATAAAAGTCCAGTTGTCCTTTATGATTAGCCTACTAATGCCAAGATGTTAATAAATAGCCTACCATCAGCTTTAACTGAGATAACTAAACAAGACTTCAACACATTTGGAGAATGATCCCTTATAGTCTACTGAGATGTACTACAGTCTCAGACGTCAAACTCCTTGTTAAACTAAACGAATTGTGGTTGGTCACTTTGCATGTCAATCAGACTGCCTTTTCCGCTCTAATTGATCGGTTCTTGTCCAGATAGTGCTGATAAATGCTCAGGTAAGCTAAATCAAATGTCTGGCAACTAGTTTACAAAAGAAATGGGCTACCCTTACGAAAAATAAGTTTATTCAAGTGTTCTATTAGTATGCTTCTTTTAAACTAAAAATAAGAAAGTATACTTTCAGTCTACATTTTATATACTTCTCAGAAATATACGTTATGTACTTCTCAGAAATACTTAAAATTATACTTAAGTGTACTTGGCTTATACTGAGAGAAAAGTCCAAGTTGGCCTGTAGGCTACTTGTACTCAATCTTTTGATCGAGATACTGTATACTTAAAAGTATAAGTTTTCAAAGTATACTTGGCTTGTAGTTGTGTTAACTTTTGAGTAAAATTGATTGAGTAAATATACTTTTTTTTTTTTTTTACATAGTTTTTTATCTTATGAAACTTGTTTGAAAATATTGATTAGAATATTTATATAAAACAGATATGTTTCTAATTCTGCGTATCTGAATTTTTGGTTACTTTATTTTCCTCTGTCTTTTACCTACACTGTAGGTGGACAAAGTACACAACTTCCTTACTTGAGTGAAAGTACAGATACTACTGGTTAAATACTCCGTTACAAGTAAATTTTAAAACTTAAGTACAAGTACGGAAGTACTCGTTTTTAAAAGTACTTAAGTATCAGAAGTAAAAAGTAAATGTCAATGCATTGTTTTATTATTGTTGCATTGTTGTATGTACAGTACCATATGCCTCTGAATCTATGCCTGCCTATCCTCATATCAATATCAAATTTATTTCTAGAACACAGTTACAGTAGTGGGATTGAATGTGAGATTGAATAAGAGCACTCAATAACGTCCACAATTGTTTCAGACACCCAAATGGCTGTTCCCTCAAATAGTGCCCTATTTAATTTTTTTGGGGCTTTTTAGTATGAATATGTTAGCCTTACTGTTATCTAAGCTAGTATAGCTTCGGTCCGAAGCGCGAGCGTACACTGTCAAACAGTGTCTGATAACTGGACTTTATTTTTTGCATCTGAATTTGTTACCAAGTGTGCAAATATGTGGGTGTTCTGTTTAAATATGTGTTTGGTTCAGAAACCAACAACAGTCGGGTTCTGACGTCAATCCGACGTCGGGTTCTGCTGTCAATCTGACGTCGGGTTCTGACATCAACCCGACTTTCATTTCCAACCAAAATGCAACCCCTGCAACCAAAACCATCCCCCGACTGACGATTCTACTCAAGGACATTGACAGAAATGTAGTGGAGTAAAAATTACGAGATTTGTCTTTCAAATGTAGTGAAGTTAAAGTAAAAAGTTTCCAAAAAAAATAATACTCAAATAAAGTACAGATACTCAAAAAGTGTACAGTAGGGTAGACCGGGGGTAGTTGTAACACTTTTTGCTTCAGCACCTATAGCTCGCTGAATTTTAGCTTGAGTTCTCAAACTTTTATACAAAATACCCACATTTGTTTACTACAACTCTCTACAAGAATATCACAGGCCTTGTGAGTTGATGTCAAATTAATGGTGTTCCTTTGTTTCTTTTTCTATTGTTACAACTTACCCCAGCATGTGTTACAACCTACCCACTACCGGGGTAGGTTTGTAACACATGCTGGGGTTGTAACAATAGAAAAAGAAATAAAAAAGGATGCCATACCATATAATATTGTACAAAAACAGATTTATTGAAATAAAAGAACAATCTCTCTCTCTCTCAATAACAGAATATGTCTGTTTGACTCGCACTTGTGTGTGTGTGTGTGTGTGTGTGTTTAAATTGGTCTAGAACAAACTTACTTAACAGTACACTTAATAATAACATAGGCTGCTACTATAATGTATCTAATTAAATAACATCTTTGTACATCTTTAGGTCTAACAAAAAAAACCCACATATCTGTGTGTGTAAATTAATCTACTAAACAAACGTACTTAATGGTAGAGACACCTCTGTCAGTCTTTCTTTTCCATGCCATAATTATTCTTTAAAAACATTAAAATTAAAGTTATATTCTTAGTAACTTTTTAAATAAGTGTTACAACCCACCCCACCCCTGTCAACCAATGTTTAGCTAGCTGTATTAGCATAGTGAAATTAGCAGGGGGGAAAGCATCACTTATTGCCTAAGAAGTCATATTTATCTGCAATAGTACAGATACTAAACAAAATATAGTATTGGTCAAAATTTTTACTTTTTGACCTCAAATTCATTTTCTCTCTATATATTCTGCATGTGCCTGTTTCCAGCCTTGACAATCGCTGGATCGGGGAGGAAGTAGGAAAATCGTGAAGTGATCACATGACTCATATTTCATAACTGGTGGAATTGATGGTGTAACAACTCTCCCCATGTTACAACCTTCCCCGTAAATGTACTTTGTTACTGTCCACCTCTGCCCGTACATGAAAACGCCTCCATGTTCATCTATGCCGGGCTTAGCTCCAGGTTCCCATATATGGACTGATTACTGTGAATACTCAAAATGATTGACAGGCAAAATGCGTCTCCAGAAACCTTCTGATTGGCTACGCAAGGCGTCTGACCCATGTTTACAGACGTGTATCTTTTGTTTCAGTATTCTTTGCGGGACTAGAGTAGTAATTTTATGCATGCATTCCATACAAATCGTAATAATCATAATAATCAAATATGACTGGTATGTGTTTGTTCAGTCTGTTCATGAAACGAAAGTGAAAGCATGTGTTCGTGCGTCAGCTCAGCTCATGACGCAGTTGGCAAAGACAAATGTAAGGAAGTGGATGTGGAATTATATTTTTTAATGTAGCCTACGCAAAGCATAAACAAGGTTGGTAAATTGCTTATGTTTTATGTAAAATAGCCTACGTGGTATTAGGGTTGGTCTTATATCTGTGTGTTTTTAAACGGTGTCGAATATTCTTTTTACCATATCGTCCTCCAAAGCGCTGTGCTGCTAAATAAACAGAATGGGATACACTGTTAATCAAGTGAAATGTCAGCAATATATTTCTTTTTAACCCTTAAACAACACAGGCAACGTGCACCACAGGATAGGCCTACATACTCTTTAACCTCTTGTAGCATGAGATAATTTTTCATCCAATTCTCTGTTATCATTATCATAGTTGAGTCTGGTATGTTAGTCACATGACTTGGTTCACATTTTCTGTGCTTGGATAAAGCCAACATTGTCCCCCCAAATGAAATGATGATTTTTTTTTTTTGCTGATCATTTCCCACTCTTGTCTGTTTAAGGGTTAATAAGAAAAAAAAAATACTTACAAATATACAGAATATAAATAGTAATCATATCTATATATATTGGCTAACTGAACATATTTTGAAGGGTTATTTTAACATTTTACAATTTTGATTGTTTTTAAATTTGTGTTGTGTAGGATCTGCAGTCTCAAAAAAGAGCATCCAAAGATCATTGCCATTACTGTTGTGTAAGTGCCAAAATGCCAGTGGAATTCAGTGGATGGACGACATACTGTGATAAATCAAAGCACCTTAAACCAGGTCAAGAACCCAAAAAGAGCCATGGCTACACTATGTACCATGGGACACTCAAAACCAATGCCCCAGCTATTATATCATCAGGGTTTCGGCCCTCTGCTGGGGGAACTCTGGGTCCTGGAGTCTACTGTAGTAGGGACATTAACAAAGCAATGGGTTACCCAGCATGTGCTCCCAATGACAGAGTTGTGTTTAAGCTACGAGTAAGAGTGGGTAAAGTGAAAAGGTTTGACATGCAAAGCCTGAACCAGATGACGTCGTGGCATCAGAATGGATATGATACGGCCTGGTTACCTGCTTCTGTTAATGGACGTGAGGAGGACTGTGTTTTTGACCCAAAGAGACTCACTGTGATTGGGATAGCCCATTGCACAGACTCCAGTGCTAAGAGTTCTCTGGAGAGTCTCATAAAGCAGAAAAGCCAATCGCAGGACCCGGAGGGGAAAGATCTGAAGCTGTGTAAAGGCTGTGGAATGCAAACAGAGGATAAACACACAATGGAGAAATGCTGGTCCTGCAAAGCATCCATATGCCCCTTCATGAAGAATCATGTTTGCCGAAGGAAAGGGAAGTAACCCGATACACTTTAATTAAATATAATCTGTAAAGTGATTTTGAGCTTTGTTAAAGGCACTTAATTATTAAAACTTATTATTATATTATTATTATACGATATTATACTTATAATTTTTTTACGTTTTTTTTTCTAAAACCAACACTGCAGAAATGTATATCAGAGGTTGTTAACTTTATATTTACACAAGACCATTCAAAATGACTGTTTTAATCAGTTCATTTTAATTTGTTGTTTTCTGATAGATATTGGATATTGAACCATATATTATTAATAATATTGGATATTGGATAGTGAACCAAAACTGTAAATTTAACATTTAACAAATTTAATGAAATTCTGCTTATCAGTTACAGTAATTTGATCAGATTAATATGGTTAAGTTTAGTTGATTATAACTCCTCAACACCTGCAACAGATTGTGCCAAACATTATCAAAGTTTGAATTTACCACTGTAATGCAATTTGTTTTGTAATATGGTGTAATCTTTTGAGCACTTGAGAGTACATAACAATAAATAAAGATTTAATAAAATATATAGTTTTTTCTCTTCTGTTCTGCAGTTGCAATTATGCTGTGTCTTTGTAACAATTTTGATTTACAGTTGAAATCTTTTATAGCCAAATCTTTTAATATTGAGCATGTGAAGTTTAGCAAAATATTGAAGGAAAGGAAAATGTAGCTTTTTTAAATTTGTCTAAAATCCTAATTTTACATATAGTTAATGAGTAGGATTTTTAATTTTTTTTTATTTAACAATCTGACACATTGACTCTTGCTATAAGCCAATACTTGCTGTAAACATGCTCAAGGCTTTCTGAAAGTCTGAAAAAAATAACTAAAAGTGTAGCAGTGTAGACCTATTTACCACTACTGTAAAAACCTGGGTGAAAAGCAAGCACATCTGAACTGAAAAAATAAGTGCAAAATATAAAAAACAGAAATCAAATGTTTTCCTATCTTATCTCTTTTCTTGCTTGGCATTCGGTGAAGTTTCCTACCCAGCAAGATGCTATTTACATGCAAAATATGTTTTTTTTTAAAGGAAGGAATGAACTCTGTACTAGACACCTCTTGAAGATCAAGTCTCAAGTTAGCAAGAAATACAGATCCTGGCATAGACATAGGCTTTCGTCAACAACGTTTTTGCTTCTGCTTCCCTCCCACCTCTGTTGCAGATGAAAAATGTAAAGTACAGATCATTTACATATAGCCAAAGTTGGCTTGCATTTTTTCTGGGAATGAAAATATCAAAGCCCTCAGGATTGCCTAAAAAGCAAGTTTTATACTTTGTATTTTTTTAATAGAAGGAAATGTCTGACTTTTGCTTGCTGGCTGGATAAATAAGATATTGAAAGTTAATGCTGGGTTCTCCTCTTTGTTTTACATGTATCGGTTTATGATAGCTTACATATTTAAATTCATTTATTTATTAACTATAACAATGTTTAAAATAAAACATAACTCAAAGATTTGTGCATGAAGTTAGTTTAATTTATTCATACCTAGCAACAGGTCGCTAATTTGTAGTACAATATGATCATCATTTCACAGAACATGAGCAGTTTAAATTTAACAGCTGGTATGACATTTTCAACAAATATTTCAGAATTCCAAACTTCATTGGAAAGCACACTTAATAACGCTCAGGGCAGACACCATACGCTCCTCGCATTTGTGGGCGTATTTCATCAATGACTGTGATTCGTCTTGGATCCCAAACGCAGTCTTCCTCAAGACCACTTCGCACCATGCCACAGTGTGGAGGGCACCAGGCAGTGTCATACCCATGATCATGCCAGGTTTTCTGCAATGGATGAAATTGACGATCAATCTTCTTCACTTTCCCAACATTGACCCTCACTCTCAGAACTACTCTCTGGTTCTCAGGTAAGTCTCCAGTTGTTATGAGATTTTGGCCTTATAAACATAATGACCAAAAAAGCACCAAATAGATTTTCACAAAAACAAAGTGGTGCCTTACCTCTGATGTAGCTTCTGATACTGATCACTTCTTTCTGAGAGCAGGTAGGCCTATAAATACACATCTTTCAGGGTGTGTCCATGACGAAAGGTTCAGTTCAGATTTAGTAGCTTCAGTTTAAATCATCTTGGTAAACATTTTTACAGATTGAAATAACACTTATGTATTGAATTTCTGAAGTGTTGATTTTAAAGAGAAAAAGATTAAGATTGTACAATTATAAATTGTTTGGTAAACCTGTTGCCTTTTTTTTAAAGCAAAGAGACAAATTTAATTCTCGCAAAATAAGCCCAATATATCGATAAGTCTGAAGTACAGGATATTATGTGGCCTTTGTCAAACTGTTATAAAACAAAATTATCTGCTTATTAAATTGATATTAAAAGGAAAACTATAAATTTTCCCCCATTTTTGTTTTAAACAAAGTAAAGTTTCGTTTTAGCTTGAGGACTGCTTTCCTGTAAATGCCCCACCTAATCAGAAACTATTTATGCACCTGTGACAGATGTCTGAACAGCTCAGGTTAACAAACAATGAATACAACTGATCTGATGTGTTCAAACTGAACAGAGCAACCCATTGCTTTAAATAATGTACTTTTATTTGAGGTCAAACAAGAAAAATGAATTAGAAAAGGATGAATATCACTGTTTCCAAGTTAGAAACTCTCTCCATACCAGTAAATACCATATATTTTACAGGATATTTCATGTTCAAACACACATGGAGGCTGACCATAGGTTTAACCAACATAATTTGGACCAATACCACTAACACTGTTTTCTATTAACTTTTTAGAACTTACTTATCAAGTTTACACTCTCTCATCCTGCTTTGCATTTTTGTTAGAATAGTATATACATGAGATATAAATAGAATATAGATGAGATATAAACAAAAAGATGGATGGTGTTATAGTAGAATGTGTCACGTAGGCCTAGGGTGGTTGTAATGAACGCACGACGCAGGAAATCAACAAACAAAGTCTTTAATGATAAATCCTGAAAGGTGCAGGAGATCACAAGGGAAACGATATTGCAAAAACACATTATACTAAGACGTTAACGACACTGAACATTGAACAGAGGAAACTAAGGGTTTACATACACAGACAGAGTAATCAACAGAACAGGTGAGGAACTATGAGTATGGAATCAAACTAGACATCAGGTAAACTACAGTAAATAGAATATATCAGCTCTGTGGCCTTCAAATGTGCTTTTGTATTGTGGTTGCTACACACCAAACATTATAAAATATAAAAAATTCTAATTTAATGATAGATAGTTTGCCGCATTTCATAATTTTATTTTCATAATTTGCTAAAAAAAAATGTAACTGTCTTGACATTTTCAGAAAGTCAGCTTTTTTAATGTTTTCCCCACATAAAAAGAGTTATCAAAATCCTCTATAGTCAATAAGATTATAAGAATCTTTCCAAATATATTTTAAATGTATTATTATCATTTATTATTATTATGTTAAATATATTCTTCTTTTAAAAATTACTTATGTTCAATGATCATGATCAACACCATTTAGACAGGTCCTCTCCTTATACGACACACGTAGTTCTCCCACCACACACACATAACCCATAAGTGTATCTGTAAATACACCAAGTAAACATTACACAATGCTTGCTTTTATGTTAATGCCTTATAAAGATGTTTGCATACTATGTTCTTGGAAACTTAATGTTTGAAACTAACCACAAAAAAACTGATCTAAAACAGTGTAGCTTTTTTTTTTTTGAACATCCAAAAGCCAAGAGACTCTCGTACAATATTGATAAGTCTGAAGTAAACCAGGTGTGCACCTCTTTGTCAAACTTCTATAAAAACAAGCAGGAACTTCACTGATCTAAGTTTTAAATTAACTTTACAAAATACTTGAACTGCTAAGTGAATATTTTTCATTAATTCAAGTAATAAAAGAGTATATTTAATATTTATATATAATTAATATCATATTTATTGTTTTGTTTTAGAATACGTTTAATTAAGTGCAGTGGAAAAAATAACTAGCCTATAATATTTACCCCCTTTTCCCATTTTTTTTCCATTTCTGTTATACCATTTAAGTTTTGTTTCTGATTTACAGGACTGTTTCCTTGGAAATGCCTCACTTAATCAGGAAATATGTACACAGCTGTGACAGGTGTTTCAGCATATCAGGTTAAAAGATCAACAAATGAAATTATTTACTTTCATTTTAAGTAAAACAAGAAAAGTATCTGTGACCAATCACAGTTTCCATGGTAGAAACTTGCTCCACCAGTAAAATACAAAAGATTTAAAAGGATTTTTTCATGATTAAGCACATTGTTTTTGTGAAGGATAGTGCTTTAAAGTCTGTTGGATCATTTGGTAAAAGTGTGTTGTCCCTTTTTCTTCTACATCCAAAAGCAGAGAGTTGTTCTGATTCTCCAAGCCCAATATTTTGATAAGTCTGAAATAAAACAGGGTATGATTTGTGTACATGTTACAGGTTTTGACCTTTATGAAACTTGTAATAGCAGTAATTTTTCGTTATTCTTTTGGGGAAAGAATTGACTTGGGTCTGAGGTTTCAATTGTTTACTGACAGTTTTTGCACAATCAAGAGAAACAAAAACAAACTCTGCTCAAAAACGGTTGCTCTGTCTTTCTTTCATTCTTAAAGGAAACACCAATTCTTAAAGACGCTTAAAGGCAGTCCAATAGTAAAGCAGAGCAAACCATTACAGAGTAAAAAGGGGTGCTCAACGAATGTACGTAAATAACATTTACAATCACACGAGACATTTTGAATATGAAAAAGACTATTTAAAATTATTGAAAAGCATCAGAGAAATGCATAAAGCATGTTCAGTTTAATAATATTGATATGTATTTGTATGTATTTATAGATATCTTCAGGGTAAGAACAATGGGGGATTAGAGATGTGATGATTTCACATACTTTACATTCAGCGCCTGATGGTTTCTATAAAGTAACAGTTATTTTGATAACGTAACAACATTTTTACATTACCTCTCAAGGGTAATTTTTAACAATCATGCTAAACGTCACACACTG